CATAGGACACATCTGTAGAGTTAGTGCTTCTACTGCCCATGGCTCAATGGAATTGTGGGAGTTGTAGTTCAGTGAGACACCAACACTCTTTGGCAGAGAATGCTGAAGACCACGTAAAACTCCCAACTCCCATAGCATTGAACTCATAGATGGTTGAGTAATATCAAATGGTATTAATTCTGTGGTGTAGATCAGGCATCCTCAGATTGCGGCCCTCCTGTTATGAACCCAAAGAGGTTCCTGTTCTTTTTGCAGAGTGTTCAAGGAATAATAAGGTAGTTTAGATCAACGAGACACTTTGGAGACCAAATTTGGTTTTGACACTATTCATGTAACATTTATTGAAATACAACCATCACAGAATCATATCAGAATCACATCAAGGAGAGCTCTCGTGCACACACTTTTTTCGCTTCCTAAACTGCAGCAACGGAGCATCCACACTTCCTCGGAAAAGACTGATCATCTTCGCCAGAGGAGGCCTGTGTGTGCGTGAGTATGAATGAATGTGTGTGTGCACGAGAGCTCTCCTTGATGTGATTCTGATATGATTCTGTGATGATTGTATTTCAATAAATGTTACATGAATAGTGTCAAAACCAAATTTGGTCTCCAAAGTGTCTCATTGATCTAAGCTACCTTACCATTCCTTATACACTCTGCACAAAAGAACAGGAACCTCTTTGGGTTCATAACAAATTGGCGTCACGAACAGGATTGCAAGTGTAAAGGAATTGAGGTTTCTGGAGTTGGAGGCCCAAGCAGCTGGAGGGCCGCAGTTTGAGGATGCCTGGTGTAGATAATCCATAGTGACCATCAGTGAGGACTTGAAACTCAGACTTCCATTACAAAAGTACAGTGTTATGCCAATGCATTTGGATTCATATTTGCCACTCTGCAAAAATCTTTGCAGCTATTAGAAGTGATTGTGATCTCAAAGAGTAAGGCAAAAAAGATAATTCTCTTTTAACATGGATTTGTGGATCAGAGTGAGAACCCTGGTGTGCCTAGTGTTAAATACAGGACTAGGCCATCTCACCAAATCACAAGAAAGGAGATTCCACCTGAACATTAGGAAGAACTTCCTAACAGCAAGGGCTGTTGGACAATGAGAAAGACTTTCAATGAGATGGGCTCTCCATCTCTGAAGGTTTTTAAACAGAGGCTGGATGGGTTTCTTTCAAGAATGCTTTAGTCACATGGCGAGTGGATGGATAAAATCACACTTGTGGTCCCTTTCAGCTCTGCAATTCTTTGATTCCTTTATCAGTTTATTTTTTCTTGGGAAGCATTTGAAATATAAGGACCTTATTTAGATTTTTCTGTTTGCTTTGCTTCGTTTGTAAATATTGTTTCCCACTGTGTATTTTAGGCTTTGAAGAGTTAGAAACAAATGGAAAAATACCCAACCATATAAAATAACTCACCCCAAAAAACAGGAAAATGTGTCCATAGAGAGAAAGCAAGAGGCACATTAATTCAGGCAAAGAGAGAGAAAGATTTCCACTACAAAGTCTCTATTTGTCTTCTGCAGTGGAAATAATAACCCTTTGTACAATCTGAAGGAATAAAGAGTCTCCACTTTCAATCAACTTCTGTAGATTGCATGTTTGCCATTCCTGCATTTAGCTGAGATAAAAAGGCCAAATTTATGCCAGATAGGTCTCCCTTCACCTGTTTTAAACTGAAAATTGTGAGCCTGAAAGAGATCTTGCCAAGGAAAAAGTTCTAGGACCTAGTTGTCAATGCTGGAAGCCAATTCTTAAAATACAGTTCCATTACATATACATCTGTCCACCTATTACCTTGCTAAATAAATTCATTAAAATTGTTTTGCATTGTCTGTTTCCAGAATTACAGATTTCTACTTGCAGAATTTGGATTTGGGGTTCAGGGAACAAGCAAACCAAAATTCTAAAAGTGGATAGTTTTGCTCCAAAATGCCCTATTGATCTTGAAACGGGGGAGATTCCACTTCATAGAGTCACAGAGTTGGAAGAGATCCCAAGGGCCATCCAGTCCAACCCTTCGGTTTGGCAGGAATACGAGTTCAAAGCACTCAAGTTAAACATGAGCCAACAATGTCATGTGGCAGCAAAAAAAGCCAATGGGATTTTTGGCCTACATAAATAGGAGTATATCAATTATTCTATGATTCTATAGTGTCTAGATCCAGAGAAGTCATGATACCCCTCTATTCTGCCTTAGTCAGACCACACCTGGAATACTGTATCCAATTCTGGGCACTGCAATTGAAGGGAGATGGTGACTTTAAGCTGGAAGGTAAAAGGTAAAGTTTGTCCCCTGACATTAAGTCATATCTGACTCTGGGGTGTGGTGCTCATCTCCATTTCTAAGCCGAAGAGCTGGCGTTGTCCATAGACACCTCCAAGGTCATGTGGCTGGCATGACTGCATGGAGCGCCGTTACCTTCCCACCGGAGTGATACCTATTGATCTACTCACATTTGCATGTTTTCGAACTGCTAGGTTGGCAGAAGCTAATGCTGACAGCGGAAGCTCACGCCGCTCCCCGGAATCGAACATGCGACCTTTCGGTCAACAAGCTCAGCAGCTCAGCGCTTTAACCCACTGCACCACTGGGGGCACCCATAAGCTAGAATGTTGTTGTTGTTGTTGTTGTTATTATTATTATATTACATTTATTCGCCACCCTTCTCACCCCAGTGGGGGACTCAGGGTGGCTTACAGTCCATGGCATACAATGCCGCATTACACATATAATAATAAACATAACATATGAATTTAAACAATTATTATATCAATTTAAACATACAATAATAAACATGAGATAATAATTTGAATATAAATACAATAACAAGCTTAGAAGTAATTCAAATAGAAATACAATAAAAAGCTTAAAAGTAAACATACAATAATTCAAATAGAAATACAAAAAAGAGCTTAAAAGTAAACATTGAATCCCAACCAAAGTGGGCTGATGGAAAAAGTGGTCTGAAGCACTGAGAGGCAGGGGAACCCCGAAAACGAGCGCCCGCACAGGTGTTCCAATGTCCAAATGATGGGCAGCAAGGCTATAGAGGCACCTGGCACAGGTATTCCGGCAGCCGGGCAATGGGTGGCACGACCATTAAGGTAGCAGCGCTGCGAGGTTGCAGGGGCCATGTTCTCTCCCTGCTGGGTCAGCTGGCTGGAATGAGGATGTGGCTGCAGGTCTCCTCGTGGGTAAGCCCAGGGCTGAGCAGGCAGCAAAGCTGGATGGCAATACTCAGGCCCCAGGGTCCCTCTTGCAGCAGAGCCCAACAAAGAATGTGACCAGAGGAGAGTGACTAAAATGATCAAGGGTCTGGAGAACAAGCTCTATGAGGAGTGGCTTAAAGAGCTGAGCATGTTTAGCTTGAAGAAGAGAAGGCTTAGAGAACACATGATAAGGGCCATGTATCAAGAGGTGAGCGGAACAATGGCTTCAAACTACAGGAAGGAAGATCCCACCTGAACATGAGGAAAAACTTCCTGCCGGTCAGAGCTGTTCAGCAGTGGAACTCTCTGCCCCAGAGTGTGGTGGAGGCCCCTTCTTTGGAGGCTTTAAACAGAAGCTGGATGGCCATCTGTCAGGGGTGCTTTGAATGCGATTTTCCTGCTTCTTGGTAGAATGGGGTTGGACTGGATGGCCTACAAGGTCTCTTCCAACTCTAGCATTCTGTGATTCCACAGATGGCCATCCAGCTTCTTCTTAAAAGTCTCCAGAGAAGATGACCAAAATAGATTCTCGAGCATAATTCTCCTGTTGAACAGCTCTTACCATTAGGAGGTTCTTCTTAATGTTTATTGAATCCATTGCTCCATGTCCAGCAGAAAACAAGCTTCAGTGTGACATCCTTCTAAATATTTTAATGTGGCTCTCATGTTTCCTCTCCACCTTCTCTTCTCCAAACCGCATTGAGTCGCCTGATTGGGCTGAAAAATGCGGTATAGAAATAAAGCAAATAAATAATAAATAAATAAACTAAACACACTTAGCTTTCTCAGTCGTTCCTCATAGAGCTTGGCTTCCAAACCATTTCCACCTTGACTATCTCCTTCCTGAATTGTACTGCCCAAAGCTGGAGAGAGGATTGTTCAAGTCTGTTCTGACCAGTGCAGAATAGAGTGGAAGTCTTATTTCCCTTCATCTAAACACTCTACTCCTGTGGTTGCAACTTAGAATTGCACTGGCTTTTTAAGCTGCTGCATCACACTGTTGATTCGTGTTCAGCTTGTGGTCTCGTAAGACTCCTAGATCCTGGGTTGTTGTAGCTTTATGGCCATGTTCTAGAAGCATTCTCTCCTGACGTTTTGCCTACACCTATGGCAGGCATCCTCAGAGGCTGTGAGGTCCTAGATCCCTTTGACACCTGTTGTCAAGACAGATGTCACTCAGTCTTTATCAGTGCACTTCATTTTATAACCTAAGTATCATACATTTCCTACTAGATCCCTTTGACATGGACTGTTTTCAAGCCATGTGTCACTCAGCCTTTATCAGTGCACTTCATTTTTGTAACCTAAGTAGTATACTCTGTTGAAATTCATTTTGTTAGTTTTATGCAATCCACTCTCTAATTTGTTAAGGTCAGTTTGGATCCTGAACCTGTGCTCTGGGACATTAGCTATTATACCTTCCCAATTTGGTGTTACCTGCAAATTTGATCAGCTTGCCTTCTCTTCCCTCGAAGCCTCTTGCTTTCATGGTTTGAGAAGGTGGTTTTGGTGACTTCATGGATCCCTTCTCCTCTCCCCTCTTATCCAAAGCCTTACGCATGCAGTGTTACCTTTTTGAAATAAGAACCCTTTCCTCACCCTGCCTGTTGAATGAAAAGCTTGTTTGCGGACCTTCGGACTGTTGTGCAACACTGATTTCTTATTTTGTAATTAAATGTCAGAAGGAACTGAGGTTTAGCCTTGCTAATGGGGTTTTTCCTCCCCCTTCTCCCTCTTCCCCCCTTCGTTCCTTCCTTCCTTTCTCTGCAACGGATGCAGGATGACAGTACTAGCCACAGCGACCACCAAGACCCTATCTCACTAGCCGTGGAGATGGCAGCGGTCAACCACACCATCCTGGCATTGGCCCGGCAAGGAACCGGCGAGATCAAAACAGAGGCCCTAGACGACGACTGATGAAGCGACGGAGGGGGAGGGCTCCGAACCGGAAAAAAAAACAAAACGGAAAAAAAGTAACTTAGTTTTAGACGTAGCACCTTAGCAGCCTTTTTTCCTGGTCCCTAAATATGTGTTCTTCTTAACAGTATAACTTTGCAGTCTCTTGTACGTCAAGTTAGCCGTTTAGGGTCTCGTCCTGTGGAGATGGCATTGTGCCCTCTTGAGTCTGCGTATAAACTCCCAGTATTAACTTAACTCCCAGTCCAATACGTAACCAAACTGACTGACCTCCCTCTCCTGGTGTCCGCCTGCTCCTTCCCTTCTCCTGGCTAGTTGAAAACCTTTGCTGCTCTGTCTTATAGCATTCCATGACCGTGCTTCCGGGTATGTGAGGGAGCCCTCAATTCCCTTAGCCTTAGGCTAAATGTGTGTACAGAATACCGCCGATGCCACCACCACCGCCACCTTCGATTTTCTCTTCTCCCCCTTTTCCAAGACTTGAAAGAAAGACCAACTGGGGTTATGTGGTTCCAAGAGCAATGGCTGCCATATTGGGAGTGCGTGGCTGAACATGGGCAAATGGTTGAGCTGTTAGCTGTTTCAGCATCGGGTCAACAGTCAACAATAAGCTATGCTTTTCTTGTCCATGACTCATGGTTATTTATGTCTTTCTTTGCTTGTGGTGCTGTGTTCAGAATGTCCCAGGCCCCTTCTACACTGCCACATAAAACCCAGATTATCTGCTTTGAATTGGATTATATGGCAGTGTAGACTCATATAATCCCATTCAAAGCAGATAATATGGATTATCTGCTTTGATAATCTGGGTTATATGGCAGTGTAGATGGGGCCCCAGATGGTCGGGAACAAGGGGAAAGTGCCTCCCAACTCAATTTGGTTGGTGCTCACTGCTCAGAGCCTTTCTGTTTTCATTGCAAACTGTTTTCTATGTTTGAACAAGTAAGTCTCCTGTGTAAACCCAAAGTTCCCATTCACTGTGGAAAGTGCTCACTGTATCTATGAAAGAGTTCCAGGTAGGACCTTTTGTTGGGCCACCACTGAGGTAGCGGGTGGGGAAGGGGTGCTTCCATATTAAGCTGTGTTTGGTGTGTTCACATGAAATGTCTATCCATACATAAGCCCTAAAAAGGTCAGTAAGGCCTACTCCCAGGCAAGCATGCATAGGTTTGCACTTTCAGCCCTCCCAAGGACATCTACCAGATACCCATCTTAGGTATATCTAGTGCCTCATTCAGATGTTGGCGGAGAGGCCTCCTATAGATGTTAGGAGGGATGTCTCACATCCTCATTTCCTTTGGGGTGGGTAGATCCAACATGAGGTGCAACTCCACTTGCCCTTCAATCTCAGTGATTAGAAGTTGGGAAGACTCTGCTGGAAGCCCTTGTTCCCTTTTATGTCCCCTTTCCTCCATTTAAGGACCATCATGTTCTGAAGGAAAGTCCAGTCACCATCTCCCATCATCTCCCCACTGCCCCACTTCTTGGAAACATGTGTTTTCTCAGCACCAATCCTCATGAGTTCTGGTATGCCCATCAGAGCGTGCAACAACAGCTGTGTCTTTTCTGTATAGCTAGTTCATCCATGGGTTGTTCTTTCTCATGAGAACATGGGATGTCTATTCTGTCTGTCTCTATTTTCCATATTGTTCAGATTCCAGAAAGTAGCACCAGGCTGGGCAGGTTGTAAATAATCACTGGAAGCCATATTTAAGAAGGAGATTGGACGTTACCTCAGTGTTCATTTGTTCCCACAATGGAAGGCTGGTTACCTTTTCCTTTCTTTTGTGTTGTTGTTATTGTTGGCCCCACCCTACCGGTTGGACTGAAACATTTAAAAAACACAGCAGTACATCCCTAATGTTATGTGAAGCAAATCTATTTCTAAATAGCATAAGTGAATCACTTATATTTTTTGTGTTGATCTTAATCATATAATGTAGCACTTTGGTTACCTTACCCCGCCCTTTTAAATGAAAAAATCTATATATTTATATCTCATAATTTTTTGGGTTTTTTTTACAAAAAATAATAATTGGATAAGTCCAAATAAAATACTGTAAACTCACATGACAGAGTCATCCCATGTTATATCCTTGGCACGTACTATTGAGAACAATCTCTGATGGAAAGGCCCTGGGCATACAGCATCCTCCTGGGACCTTCCACTGTATATATTCCGCTAAATGAATGGGCCCTCATGCAAGTGTGTCACATTGGCACTACAGGTGTTCCTCATCGTTCATACTTCCTCTGTGTGGGAGCTTGCTCCTCGTTATGTTCGTCAGCCCTTGGATACTAACATCAGTGAAATATGACACAGAAGAGGTTCATTGCATTCCAAATGTTGTCATTCAGCACCCCTGTTTTGGGCAGCATAGGCACCTTTCAGTTGCACATGATGCACAAAGGGGACATCCAAACTGCCTCCATGAAACCAGTAGGGACCTGAGTCACACACACTCATGCATATGAATGCCACAATTGTTTGTGTCTTGGTTTCTTTGTTTACTATGCCCTTACTCATTATTTTTATGTCGAATATTAAAATTGGAGCTTGAAAATGTTCCTTTAGGTTTGGGTGTAAAACCTCTAGAACCCTCTAGCCAGAAATGATAATAGGGATTCTGAAAAAAAATGTAGCTCAAAAAGGAACATTTCCAAGCTCTGAGAAAAATAAAGATAAAGGGACTCAAAGGATTGGGATTCTTACTATGTTGAAATGGGCTAGAGGTGAAATCAAGGAGCAGAGCATCTCAGAGTTGGTTTTGCCTGTTCTGTGTGCTAGTTCCGTATTGTGGGTAGCTCCACATGTTCCAAAATACTGGTCTTCTCATTTCCCTCCATCCGTCTTGACTTCTCTGAGTAGGCAGGAAAAATGGAGAAAGCGATGGGAGGTGGGAATGACCCAGTTCCAGAGTAGTCTGGACACAGCTTGGCATCCCAAAGCATGACTAGCAATTGTTCAGGAGCCTGGCTAGATCATGTTAGGCACCACCCAAGTACATGCTCAAAATAAGTGAATCTGTGTGGTTGCGTAAGTCATGGAATTGTCTTCTTTTGGAGGACATGGTGTGAGAACATGAGGAACATGAGAACATGAGGAAGAACTTCCTGACTGTGAGAGCCGTTCAGCAGTGGAACTCTCTGCCCCGGAGCATGGTAGAGGCTCCTTCTTTGGAGGTTTTTAAACAGAGGCTGGATGGCCATCTGTCAGGGGTGATTTGAATGCAATATTCCTGCTTCTTGGCAGGGGGTTGGACTGGATGGCCCATGAGGTCTCTTCCAACTCTTTGATTCTATGTTGGGATCTTATCAGTTGGGTAGAGACACAAAGCTGAGGTTCCACAGTTCACTAACTGTTGACTCCATGGGCCTTAGTTGAATCAGATTGTTTATCTCTCTCCTGACTGATACTAGGTGCTCTGATTAGGCAACGAGCAATGGGCCATAGATAGGTCTTTGCTACCATTGGCTTCTTTATCCTTTCAACTGTGGTTGGGATCTTCTGGATTCATGATGTTGTCTTTGTCCCCAAAAGATTCCTCAGAAAAATTTTTGAGGAGGTATTATTTGCACCTTTGTGTATTCAGACAAGCAGGTCACATCATGAGAGCTTCACCATTTCAGCTCTTTGTCTGGTGGCATCCCATTTGGTTAACATACTGAATTTTCTTGGCCCCGTCTTGTCTTGTATGTTAAAACTAACTTAGTAAACAGTTGTCTTCTGCTATGTCTGTCTGCTTGGAGGAAATCCAGGAATAGTTTTAGCTTTAGACTCAGGGATGAGTGAGCTTAGTTTTTTAGTTGCGGATGGAATATCTTGTCATGATGATCATCAACATCTTTTCTCTTTTTCTCTTCGCCAAGGAATAAAAAAGTGGGGGTTTTGTTGTGCATTTTTGTAGGATGGTGACCTGGCAAATCTGTAGCTGGCCCAGTGGAATTTTACCTCATCATTTGTACAACAGTCACACTCTGAGATGACTTGTGAGGACATTTTTGTCATCATTAGCCTTCTGTTGTTCCTTTGGCTTTTGTTTTTTCCTTTGCACTGGTTCCAGTAATACACCGGTGGCCAACTTTTAAAGTTATATATGCGCACATAAGTTGTCCACTTGCAATATTATATCTTCTCACATGTTGCCGTGTAGAGTTGCTCCTTCTTTGCCTTAAGATTGTTTGCTGTTTTCCAATTTGTGAAAGAGCTGTGGAGTTGTGTGAGTTCATGGTTTTATCCAGCTTGTCTGAGCAGTATGCTAAACCCAATTGCTAGTTCCAATGAAGCCTGGGAAGGGAACTGCATGGCCCTCCTGATGTTGTTGACCTACAACTCCCATCCATCTTTGGCAGCATAACATATGGTGAAGAATGCTGGGTGAATCCCCACTTGCTCGTGGAACCTCACAGGGTGACCCTGAGCAAATCATATCATTTCAGCGGGATCCCAGGAAAGCAAAGATGACCTGACCCCCAATTTTGAAGAAATCTTGTCAAGAAAACCCAGTGACAGCTTTGTCTTGGGGTCACCATGAGTCAGAAATGACTTGAAATCACACAATGACAACGGTAGTTCTCCTTTGATGTAGGTTCTGGGTTTCCAAGGGCACAGCTCAAAAGTGAGAAAAACTCTCTCCAGAAATTTCTTTACATATTGTCATGAAGTTGCAACACTAAAAGTATAACAGGCTTCTCTAGTAGATTACTAGGAAGTTACTCCTCCCCCCCCCTTTGCTATTGCTGCATCCCAAATGTTGTACAGTCTTTATCTGAGAAAGGTGAGAGCTGTTACGCAGTTCAGAGTAAAATCTGAAGCAAAGTCATTTTTCAACTGGCATGCAAGCTCTCAGTAGGAGGTTGTCCATTGGAATCCATCTTGGATGAGTGACTTGTTTCGTTCCTGCTCAAACTTGAATGAAAGGTTGTCTGATTGGGATGGGCCTAATGCTAACTTTGCCTTAGCTCAAAGTCCAGATTAAGTGACCCTTATCTGAAATTCAGAAATCCAAAATACTCTGAAATTGTCCATGTGAGTGGCTGAGATGGTGATTTTCCTTTTTGATGGTTCACTTCACTTTGTACACAAAATTTTTATTTTTTAATTGTGTACAAAATTATCTCCTGGCCAGATCTATAAGATGTATATGAAAAGCCATTGAATTTCATGTTTAGATTTCGATCCCATCTCCATTATATATATGCTGGTGTTCTGAAATCTGGTGGAGAGCAGGATCTAAAATAAGAAATTCATCTTGTCTCAAGTGTTTTGGGTAAAGGATACTCAACCTGTACTTCCATTTGTGCTAACTTGGGCATCCGGTTTTTCCCAAGTTCTACCTCATATTCCATCCTGTTCTGAAGGTTCTTTCAAGCTCAGAATCAATTTTTAGAGTCAATTGGAGAGTATAAATTATTTGAGGGTAGACGAGAACAAAGCTTGTGTGTCCTTCTTGATCTAAGAACAAGCACATTTCAATACGTCAAAGGCAGTTGTTGAATGAATGTCACTCACTATAGATGAGTGACATTAGGATATAGACAAATTTTAGGTATGTAGGCAGGTCTTATTATGTTGTGGGTGTGAGTGTGTTAGTTTTCTGTTCTTTGAATGAAGAAAAGATGGGGGAGCATATCTTGATTCCCTAAAGTGTGTGTTGAAAAGCCCCAGTTCACAGCCCTAAATTGGACTTGAGACCTCCTCAAGAAATTTGCAGGGAAAAGGTGAACTGAAGTCTTTGACAGCTTGTGATTCAAGTATATTATTTTAGGATAACCTCCCCAACCCCAGGAACATGGGCTGCCCTTGAATGGAAGACACTTTTCTCTCTTTAATGGAAACATGAACAGCAATATTTCCTGATTTAACTATTTGCACCGAGCACTCTGTGCCACCACTTTAAAATATTCTTTTAATTTTCACTGAATCAAGCCACAGACATGCAAGTGCGGTTGAGTTTGCTCTTAGTGAGTTAGTTAATATAAAAAAGATGGAATTTTTTATTCTATTGCAAAGAGGTGCTTATTTTATGTTCCGCAGTCAAGCTCCTCTGTTGGTTTGACATTAAAATTAATGGCTTCTCCATCTTCTCAAATAACATTTGCAGGCTGAAGTCTCCTACCATCACTTTTAATGTTTGCTTTTTCTGTACGAAATATTGGACCCCTAGCTTCCCATACTCCTCATGTTCACACCATGGTAGAAATGGAAAGTAATCGATCATCATCATCTCATGACTGCCACCCATGTTAAAACCATGGTGAAGACAATTGAAGGTTTTGGAAAGTAATGGAAGCTCTTCACCAACCCATGAAAAAGTGTATGGATCTTCTCAGACTATTTGATCTTTAGATGGTAACACTTGGGGAGTTGAAAGGCAATAGGAAAAGGCAAGGGCCATATTAGAGGTGGATATAATCAGTCAAGGATGCTATGGATTTGTACTTGCAGCTCCTCAGCAAGTGTGTCTTGGAGGTCTTTCAGTCCTAGATGCACCTTAAGTCAAAGATGACCAGATGCCACCAAGCAACAACATTGCTTGTGCTACATTTTTGTGTCTTCAGGTATAACCATGTTGGCTATACAGGAAAATCCAAATTACACAAAAGTGATACCTTTATTGGCCAACCAATAAAATTCACAAAATATATAAGAAAGCTTTTGAAGCTTCATTGGTTTCTTCATAGACAAAGATGTTAAAAATCATACAGGAGAAGAAAAGTTAGGATGGGGTGTAGGGTTTTTTTAGGCTATATGGCCATGTTCTAGAAGCATTCTCCCTGATGTTTCGCATGCATCTATGGCAAGAATCCTCAGAGGTTGAGAGGTTGTGAGGACCTCACAACCTTTGAAGATGCTTGCCAAAGATGCAGGTGAAATGTCAGGAGAGGATGCTTCTAGAACATGGCCATATAGCCTGAAAAACCTACAACAACCCAGTGATTCCAGCCATGAAAGCCTTCGACAAAAGTTAGGATGCTAGCGTCACAGGCCCACATTTTGTCTGAGATGTTACTGTTGTTGTCAGTTAGGATGGTCAAGAGAGATCTCAATGCAGCAGAGCTACCACC